TGTAATATAACGCGGGATGTTGCCGCGATTGTGTCTACAGTTCTTGACGGATCTAGATGAAATTTGTTACACATATTCTTTGGATAATAACCTTGAATGAGTTCGAAGATGAGCGAAATCCATCGATAAGTTTAGAAATGGCAGCTCTTCAAAATTATCAAAATAGTGAAAATCACGTTTTTGGTGACTTCATTAATGTGTAACTTTTGGTTGAAAAGAGATGGCTAATTTTTGATGAATTCATGTAAAAGCTCATGAAATTGCCTTTAATTTGACATATATAACATTGACATTTTGACCATTTTTAGTTATTTTATCAAAGTTAAGAGTTCAATTGAACCATTTTCAGGCAATGTGTAATACAACCTATCCATGTCAAACGAAAGTTATTGATACAAGACGATAATTCATTCTATGAAATCTACCTTTCATTTCGGGTATGGCCAAATGGCGTCTTTTTTAGAACAAATTTGTTTGATAAAAAAAATTAAAAAATTGTCAAGTAACTGCTAATTTTATCGTCATAATTTTTTTCTGCTAAAATTTGTTTGTAAAAAAAATTTTAAAAATTATCATTCTAGCTTATAATCGGCCACTGACTTCAGGTGTGTTGGCTTCCATGATAACTCAGTACTGCTAGGCATTTATTAAGTCAGTATAATTTTTTTTTTTAAGTTAAACTTAGGGATGCACTGTATATGTATATGATTAATCATAGTTTAACTATCTCAATTGAACTAGATACATGTATAACATCTGATTAATTATTGTTTAAAGTAATTAGACTTAATTCTTAATTCTTATTAGCTTGCACAATATCTCAATTTATTAGTTAGCACTTTTAAGCAAAATTTTAATACAAGAATAGCTAACTATTGTATTTTTAATGAATTAATTAATTAATCTACATTTATTTTCTATTGTTTTCACTCTACCCTATGTAATATTTAGTATACTACTGTTCATATGTAAAATTATATGTATTAATGACCCTGTTATTGGCCTTTTGGCTGTTGGGTCTGTCTTAAATAAATAAATAAATATCTGCTAAATAAATTTTCATAAAAAAGTTACCTGGTTAATATGATTCGCTTCAGTTTGATATTCAGCCGTCAAATAAAGGAACAGCTGTTTGACATTCCAATTGAACAGAGGAGTGAGATGTAATAACAATATAATTAAGGATTATAAATAAATAAATAATTTCATTACTACTTAAATAAATAATAATAAAAAAGGATATCAGTTTGCAGGTCAAACGTCAAAAATCCAAGATCGTTTCTTTCCCTGGACGCGCTGTAGTCTGGAACATTTTTTCTGCAACAAGATCCAACATTAAAAAAATTGAAAATAAATTAAAAAAATAAGTAAATACTTACACGACAACTTTAACAGTATTTAAATTAGCAACTGCACGGTAGTCGAGGAACACAGTCGACAGGAAACAGAAAAATGTCAGGAAACCGGCGACACTTACCGTGTATGCCAGAATTGCATTTGCTCTCGTGAACACGGTATGCATTTTTTATTAATTAATTAATTTATTTTTATAATAACAACTAACCCTATTACGTATATTTACTTATCAAGATGCTCGTGAAAAACAATTCAGAGGAATTTCTCCAACATTTGGCGGATTAATAATTTATTTGTTTGGTTAACTATTGAATTAAATTTACCAACGTCATCAATTCAACATTTGGGGTAAGTTGTATATTTATTGAAACGTGTGTTTTACTTTATTATTATTATTATCTCTTTTTTTTTTCTTACTAATTATTATTGTGATTATTGATATTATGATTGTTAATGTGACTGTACAAATTTTTAACTTTGAAAATTTCTCCAGGTGGCGCGTCAGCTGTTTCATGAAAATTCAGCCAGTTTTTAAAATGACAGGTGGGAGTTTTAAAAGAGCGCCTTTAGGTTTCACATGTGGAGTGTTGAAGGTTAGAGTGTTGTTGTAAATATTGTGAACAATTATTGGAGCTTGTAATTTTGTTTTTTTTGTTTATTAAGGAATATTTTAATTGTTTTTTCGAATTTTTATTATGGCGTCGCTTTATCAGTAAGTAATTTTTGACATTATGTCTAGTTTTTATGACATTAAAGTTAGCAGTCTCTTAACAATTTTTTAATTTTATTTAACAAAAAAATTTGTCCCAAAAAATCATTTTAAAAAAATTGCATTTTTTATTTCTTCAAATTTCTAGATGTCAATTTTTTTTTCTAATTTTTTTTGCCATAATTTATTTGTTATAGAATTTTAAAAATTATTAAATATATGCTAAATTTTCATCTAGTTTTTAGAATTAAAAAAAAAAATTATAATAGTAAACTAAGCCGACGTTTTTAATTTTTTGATTCTTTTTCATGGAAATTAAGTTAGCCGACACTCAACAATTTTTTATTTCTTTTATTAATTAAAAATTAGAACTGAAAAACTATTTTTTAAAAATTCCACGTATAATTTTTAAAATTTTCTACATGTGAAAATTTTTGTTTTAATTTTTTAAAAATTATTTTTCAATAAAATAAATTATAAAAATTTTCAAATGTCGGCTAACTTAATTTTCATTTCTTTTTCATTTATTTAATTAGAACTAAAAAAATTTTTTTTAAATTGCACTTATGGTTTTATAAATTAAAATTTTTTTTATAATAATTGTTTCAATAAAAAAAAATTCTATAAATTTTTAGATGTCGGCTAACTTAATTTTCATTAAAAAATTTCACATAAAAATTCTTATGAAAATTAATTTAGCAGATTTTTGACAATTTTAAGAATTTTTTTAACAAACAAATTATACCTAATAGAGAAAATGAGAAAAAAATTGACATTTAGAAAATTAAATAAATAAAAAATGCAATTTTTTAGAAATAATTTTTCGGAGCAAATTTTTTTATTAAAAAAAATTTTTTTTAAATGATCAAGTGACTGTTAACTTTAATGATGAAAACTAAGTTAGCCGACATCTGAAAATTAAATAATTTTTTTTAATGTCACATATGTAAAAACTTGAAAAACTGTAAGTAGCAATTTTTAAAAAATATTTTTTTGTTCTAATTTAATTAATGAAGAAAAATCAAAAAATTAAAAACGTTGACTAACTTTAGTATTATACTTTAATGTCATAAAATTTTTGTAAATAATTGATGATATTTTTTTAAAATATTTGATTTTTTTGATTTAAAAATTTTTAAGTCAGCTGATTTCAGTGTAAAAATATTTTTTTAAATAAATCAGCTGACAATAAATAAACTGTAAATAAATTGTTTTTGGCAAATTAAAAAAAAATACAATTACGTTAAATAGTTTTTTTAAATTCTCCCACGTGGAATTTTATTAAATTTTGTTTATAATTAAATGCTGAAAGAAAAAAAAATAAAATTTAGAGTTTTTTTTTATTTCTACACGTGGAATTAAAAAAAAATTTTTTTTTTGACGGAATTTAAGAAAATTTTTTTAAAAATTAAATTAATACCAAAAAAAAAAAATTTAATGCGAAAATTCATATTTAAAAATAAAAAAAAATAATAATTATAATTTGATAATTCTGAAGTAATTATAATTTCATTAATTAATTATAAATTCATACTTAAAATTTAATAATATAAAAATTTGTAGAAGTTTATTAATTTTAACAGAACTTAATTATTTAAATTTTGAATTTAATTATTAATAATAATTTTTTATTTTATTTTTCTAGAACACTGTATCCATCAAAATACTTGAAAGATTATTTGGTAAGTTAATGATGTTCATAAAAAATATATATAAAAAATCATTCACAGGGAAAATGGACCAAGTTATAATTAAAAAATATTTACCGAGACATTTACTTTAAAAAATTATTAATAAATAATTTAAATTCTAGTTACAAGATATTCGACCAGATGGCCGTGAATTTTTAAACTACCGACCAGTAAATGTCAATGTATCTTCAATAACTCAAGCTGATGGCTCTGCAATTTATAAAATCGGAAACACTAAAATAGTCTGTGGCATCAAAGCTGTAAGTAAACTACTAATTACAATTATATAATTAAGGTAAAAATATTTAAATCTATGTAAGCTTTGTAGTAATTAAACAAATCGTTTATTAAATACTATATTAATCTGATTAAATAAATAGTAGTATATAACTTTGGGAAAAGATATTTAATAACAGTACAATTGAATGATATTCAAATGAATACCCGAAAGGATACTAATATTAGGTACATTAGATTATTTAAAAACAAATATTATTTACCAGACCTATTATTTTAATTATTAATATCATTTTTGTAACTTAAATTTTTAATTACTAATCTTTGATATTTTATTATTTAGACAAATTGTTATTTATTGATCATAAAGTTATCGATTTAATATAAATTTGTTATGTCCGAATTAATTATAGTTAAATAATTATTGGTAGAGTGGGCCTTGAGGAGGCTCGGACACGTTTTGAGATAGATTTTCTCTTGTAGACGAGCTACAAGAGTTTTATTTTTAATGTAGGTTTCGAACGCCTCCCGGTAACCAGGAGTTCCAACGGCGAATTTAAAGGGGAAGTCGATATCAAATGCTGAACTCACAGTTGTCTTTATGATTTATATTGTTGATTTGAATTAGAGCTGCCGATCGGTAGATCCTTGGTTGGTTTCTCTTCCTTCTCTCGTGATTGAGATCGATGTAATGAAAGAGGTTCAGGAACTAGTCTTAGAAATGATGGAGTCCACGATATTCGGATTTTTAATGTTTATTCAATATTTAGCCCTACGGGCTAGACGCACTCAATGCACAATATTTCACTTAATAACTATTCACTTATAACTATATTTTGTGATTAGCAATGTTATTATATGAGTTCGTGAACAGAGTTACGACTCACAAAGATCCGTCGTTATAGATCGAAAGATTTGAATTTAGAGAAAGATACCACTACGGACAACAGGGCCCTCGATACAGCTCGAAGAGCACACTGGCGCGATTCGTAGAAGATATAATTTAAAGAATCAAAATGAGAATAATGAATTTAGAAGTTTTGTGTAAGCGACCTAGTGCTTTACACTGCCTCGTACGTAACGCGGTACAAGGACCCACACGGGTTCTACGAAGATACCTTCCTTCGTATTCTTTGATAAAAGACTAAACGTTTGATCCGTGGTATTTGGTGTTTTTATACACCCGGATCGTGACTTTCGGAAGGGAGTTAAATTTTGTTATTGGTCTAAATTTGCCTATATTTTGTTATTGGTCTAAATTTGCAATTTGACAGAACGTGGACAGTGTGCTCATTTCTTCATCGAGGTGTTGTCCGAGTGATTGCCGAAATTAACAAAGTGCAAGCGTTGTACTTTTCATCGAAGGGGAGAGACCCTGTTTGTTATATGAGGCAACGCCGGATATAACAAATTGATGATACCAAAAAAATTAGGTACCAAAGACAGCGAGGTTAAATTATAATTACCAGTTTGAACAACTTTCTGATATTATTTTCTACCCAAACTGATTTTTTTTTATTATAAAAATTCAGTATATTTCTGTACATGCTCAAATTTTTATTTCAAGTATATTAAAAAATTAATAATTATTTCCTGAATATAAAATTAAATCACTAGATTTTTTAGAAATCAAATTTTTATCCTTCCTGGTCAATATTTGGAACTTGTACCTTATGACTAAAATTTATTGAACAATAAACAGGAATTAGCAGAACCAAGAGCAGAATCTCCAGACTGTGGCTACCTGATCCCCAATGTCGGACTAACAGCTCTGTGTTCCTCCAAATACAGGCCAGGACCTCCGAGCGAAAATGCCCAAGTAGCCACTAAAATAGTCGACCAGATCCTTAGTAATTCCCGAGCTGTAGATTTGCACGAGCTGTGTATTTGTAAAAATAAACTTGTCTGGGTTCTGTATTGCGATCTGGAGTGCATTGACTGCGACGGATCATTGATTGACGCTTGCATCGGTGCCTTAATGGCTGCACTATCAACTTGTAAGTATTTTTTTTATTTAATTATTATCATTATTATTAATTAAAGAGTCGGAAAAATGGAAAATTATTATTATTATTATTATTTTGTTATTAATTAACTAATTTATTTTTTTTTTGTTATAGTAACGCTACCGGAAATTAGTTATAATGCAGAAGCTAAAACAACGGTGGTACATCCAACAAATCGACAACCATTTACGCTTAAATGTTTGCTGTCGTCAACTACTTTTGCGATTTATGATGAGTTAGTAATTGTTATTATTATTCCATATTAATTCCTAAAATGTTAATTTGAGGTAAAATTACTAAGAGACTAAAATTGGAGCTTAGAAAATTTCCTACAAAAAATGTTTTTATACTATAAACCTATCTTTTAGATTTTAGGAGATATAGCAACTTAAGTAGTATTTAGATAATTAAAAATGAAAAATTACTATAAACTCAAAAAAATGTTAATTAAATTGTTGTTATTTTTTAGTGATTTGTTGCTAGCAGATCCAACGGATGAAGAAGAAGCATTGGCGTTGAGCAAAATAACTATTGTTATGGATAAAAATGAAATGTGTTTCTTACATAAATCAGGTAGTTCAATAATTTCATAAAAAAATTTTTTAATTTTGAAAAAAGTTTTACGATATAGATAAAATGAAGAAATTTCTATATTGATATAAGAATTTTTCTTAAGTCAACATAGTTATTTTTCTAATGTATAGAAAGATTATTATAGTTATAGATTTACAATTTTATAGTAGACAAAATATTTGGTAGTTCTTGTAACTTCGATTAATTTTATATTTTTTCATAGAAAAAATATTTTTTTAATACAGTAATAACCTTTACTTTACAAAGAAAAATATATTCGTTAGTATAGTAAAATTTCTCAAAAATTCCTACTTTTTCATAGAAAAAAAATTTGATGTTAATATAATAATCATTCCCACATTTCCATGGAAAAAATATACTTATATCAAAATATCAAAATATGGTAAATATTTACAAGTGGGGTCAACCACTTTAATTTTCACTTTTTCGAACGAAATTTCTATTTGATTTTATTGATATATTTTTTTTTTTTAATCTATTAAGAAATAAATAATCAAAAAAAAAAAAGTTGATTATCACAATTTTAACAAATTAAAAAAATTTTCAAAATAAGGTAAATGCACCAATTATTGACCGATTAAGGTTTTCTTTTTCTGTACTAAGCTATAAAAAATCTATTAACCTACTAAAACCAATTTATAAT